CCTAGAAGGTGCCGGCTTTGGGTAATCCCGGACCTCACCGGATCAACCAAACCCTTCTTCGAGAGCGCTTATTTGAGAGCAGAGTCCGGGAGGGGAAAAACGCTGAGCTTAGGTCGGCAGATCCTCGCAATTCAATTGACGTGTAGGTGAAATCATCACAATTTATATTTTTTATTTTTTATTTATATTTACTAAGAGCATAAATAGTAGTAGAATGCCTTGGCGAAACCTCTAAATTACTTCTACTACCCAACTCCCACTAACTAATCTCTTCTCTTTTAGGATAGACCCTTCCAATAGGACCAGTGACTTTTGCCGAATGGTAGCGCTGAAGTGAGGTACCTCCCATCAAAACAAATAATTTCGTAATTTTTAATGGTCTCCTCGGATGATTTTTTTATTTCCCATCTCAAAATGGCGAGTAAATGTTGCCATTTTATTTCTGCAAACTTTCTGCAAAACGGAGTGGAACTGAACTCGATCAATCACCCAAACCAGAAAGCCGGGTGAGGGATCAATACTCTGGGAGCGGTGAAAAACGAGAAAAAACCTTTCAAAACACTGATGGGGGCTATATGTGAGTCATTATTTGAACATCACTGTTTATTCAGATTGTACTGCCGCTTATCCCTTTATTTGAAATCTAAATATCATTATTTGGACTTCGACTGCGAAAAAATGTCCCAAAGAAATAACGAAATGAGCTTAAACCCATGGGGAAATCTCCCATAGCTTTGCAGAGGTCACATAGGGCGACAATGATAGGTCCAGGTAAGTCCAGGACTATGATGTGGCAACAGAGGGCTAGTTTTCTAGGTGGTAAAGTGAGTCCTTATGGCTAGGCGCACGAAAGGCAGTCAAGTGTGACAGCTGGTTAATTCGATTTTGATCTTAATTCTCCATTTTTTTCAGGCGAGGGGGCTTGCAGTGGAACGAGAAAGCTGAAAGGTTCAAGGCTTGAAAGTTTCAACCAATAAAAAGTGCAGTACATATTTCGAAGCGCAATCTGAAGCAGTCGAGCCCTTACCGCCGATTTTCTTTTCGGCGTCTGACCTTCTGAGTAAAGCCTTAGCCTTCTTTGGGATGTCTATGTGATTACGAAGATCCGAAAAGTTCCCCCGGAATTTTCAGCCTGAATGGGAAGGGTTTGAGAAGGAATTCATGGGAGTCTCTGCATAAAACTGGGATTACCGCCATACGGATAGAATCGTGCCGCCATAGGAATGACCCCATTTGGGAGTTCATCCATCGCGGAGCTCCCTTGCCCCTAGGCCTGAGCAGGAGGATGTCATCTCCGCTACGGCAGTTCTAGTTTTGTACAGAAGCTCCTCTAAATGCTCCCTACCCAAGGTTACCGGCACCGTTTCCATCCTAGGTGAGTCTTAGTCGGGAATTGAGTATCAAGGCAATAGACTGTCGAGAAATTCCACGGAATTTTCTCGAACCGCTGGCTGGCTTAATCAGTTCTGGGGAAGACCATAAAATTACTGCACGGTAACGGCATTCCCTCACCACAGTTGGGACATATTAAAGCCTTGAGATTCCCCTAGAAGTCCCATTAGTACGGTACTTATGGGGGAACCGTGCCGGAAAACATCATTGTCTCTTCATGGATAGTTAATGAGTCTGACTAGCCGATTCCCCAACGAATCCATCAAATTTCCCATTATCGATCGATTTTCAACGAACAACGAGCGTTGTCTATTTATCACGCGCCCTGGGCGCCTAAGAGAAGTTTGCGTGCTGCCGTGATTGATTGGTGCGATGACTTCTGACTAGCTGGTTGGTTGGTTGTCTGGCTGGCTGCCCACGATGGTGGCAATCAGTGGAAGACAATGTGTCTATAAAAAACCTTACGCATGGTTACGGTAGCCCGTAGATCACGTGAGGGTAACGAGAGGTAGGGGAGGGCCTCATGCCTTTTAGACAGAGAAGTTGAGGGGTGTAATCGACTAGGGCTAGCACACTAAAGAGCCAAGTTAAGCGAGCGTCTATAAAAATTTGACGGTTGCAAAAATCGACAGAAACGACGGATCAATACGCCCTTATCATCTTGGCGCATCTGAAACGTCAGTGAAACGCGTATTGAATTCAATGAGGGTTACGGTAACCAGGGAGAATCGTCGTTTGAGATCGAATTCACGCTTATTTTCTCGTATGTAGAGACCCGGTAACTATGGAAATCAGTATAGGGTACTTTTGATAGCAGGAAAAAAATCGAAGCCAAGAATCTCGAAAATCAATGAAAAAATTTTTCAAAAGAAAATGCCTTGAAAAAAGGAAATCGTTAGTAACTGGCATAAAATAGAATGAACCTTCACCAGAGCTCGAATGAACCCGTGTCATCCATGGATAAACGGCTGCCACACCAGGTTTTTCCTCGTCACCATCTTTTTTCTCCTCTTTTTCATCTTTATTCCAGTCGACCGGTTGTTGACCATAACAGAGGCTCTGAAATTCGACAAAATTCTGATATTCCAGATATTTTCAGAAATTCCCTCAAAGCACAGAAGAGTGGAAGCTCAGAAAGGAAGACGTACAGGCTAAGAAAGATTGAGAGAGTTTGTAAAACCTCTGGTGGAAATCCCATTACTTTCCGAAGCCGTGTATGGTTGTGGAGGAGAAAAGGTCGTGGAAAACCTCAAAGTCAGGGCGGCCAAATATGGCTCTTCTTTGACATGAGAGCAGGCCAAAGCTAGCCCTCACGCCCTCAGGTAAAACTGTTCACGCTCAACTTCTAGCTACCGGATTTTTATACGAATAGGTTGGAGCTCAAGTAGAATGGGAGGTGGTAGGGTATTCAGCACCCATGAGCTCCCAGAACCATTCGGGTAAAGCAGCATGCAGATCCTAGAAGTTGATTCCATTTCAAGAGTACGATTCCAAGCGTATCTTATATGAATTAGAAACATCACCCCCGCAACACGATCCTTCAGTTAGATAGCAGCCGTTCTGGGACAGCTTAACATCCCAAGGTGATCCTTTGAGGCATTATTAGGGATGTAAAAATCTAAGCGACGGCTTCTCCAGTGGAATTCCTAGGTCCAAATGATCAATAAATCGATGGTCGGCCAAAAAGTACTGTGTTGCATCTTAAGATCCACTGGAGCACTCCACTTCAAATAGTGAAAGGTTTAGGAGCGATACACAAGCAGAAAAATAGATTTTGTGCCAAAAATCAATGAGTGGTGATTCGAGAACCGATCGGCGACGGCGATGCGACTTGTCGCTGTCGTCGTCGGCGAATCGCTGTGATGTTCGCCGGACGTGGACGGCTGACGACCGAGCGAGTGTTGGTGTTGGTTGGGATGATGGTGGTGGAAGAGTCGTAAATCTAGGAGCAGCGCGGCCCGGTGATTAATACGCTCGGCGGTGGTGGTGGCGATAGCGATGGCACCATCTGATCGTCCTTCTCTCGTTCAAGCCGTATATCATACATAAAATACTGCTCGACTATGTTGCAGTTCATGTCGATTAATCGTCGATTTTCACAGCTGGTCGTTGAGGATAATCGATGCCCAGAAAACCTTGGAGAAGCCCGCTTGGGTTGTCCAGGATCCGTAGTTGAGCGCGGATTCAACGGCAGGGTCAGGAATACCTCGGGGCTACAGTGTCCTCCCTATGGCCCCCATGAACTGTTGAGAACACGTGCCAACGACGTCATTTTATGGTGAAGCTTGTTTTCCAGACGTACAACGGAACGTTCACAAACCACGTGAGAGTGAAACCTGTTCGGACTCAGTTTGGTTCTGGGACATCACATCGATTTTTGGGGACCAAGTTCTCCTTTTTTGCTGCCTTGCGTCTTGCAAGCTTCCCTACTGACCCTAAAAAGTGCCCTAGGCAGCTAGGAGGGTCCGAGCCTTCTGCCTTCAAGGGTCTTCTGCAGGAAGGGATTATTAGGATGTTTTAGGCCCACGGGATCTGAACGAGGCTCAGTTAATCAATCAACTGATCAAGTTGCAAGGCCTTAAGCAACCAGAAGCTTCATTTACTCCTCAACGAGACGACGGTCTTATACCTAAGCGCTGCGCCAGCCCTTTCTCAACTTCCCTGGTAGCCGCAAGTTCTCCTAGTTAGGCCAGGACTTTCTTCAGGGCTCCTCTTTGCTGAACCACCAAGGAGTTCAAAGTTCGCAGCGGAATTTTCCAGAATAGCCCATTTTGCCTGCTGCTGCTGATGAATTCAACGAAACCAGTTTACAAACGGCTGACAAGAGAGCCTTTTTATTCTCTGTAAAAGTAAAATCGGATGACAGTAACGAGAGAGCAGACCTTTTTGGGACGTTGAAACCCGCAGATGAAAGGAAAGCGTAGCCAAAAATGACAATTATAATCGAATTTTGAATCCATTTTAATAATTAACAGGGGCTGTTGAAAAGATGATTGAGCGTAGTCATAACCGTCATCGCCACCCTAGTCGGGAAAATTCTCATTTGTCTCGGGTATTAGTTTTTCTAATCAGCTAATCAATCAATTGATTAACGATCCACCTACTGAGATATGACTTTGCGAAAGCGTTGACAATAATTGGAAACGATCGCAAAGCAGTTAGTTTTGTACTGGACGATTGATTGAAACACAATCACGATGGTGATGATGCAGCTGTGATGCCGTCCGTGCTATTTTCCAACGCCATTACACCCCACTTAATCACGAGGCGACCGATAGACGAATGAATTGATGGAAAATTGGAAGAAAAGCCTTGGCAGTATGCCAAAAGTACTCAGCCAGGGTGTCAAAATCGAACTGCACAGCGTCAAGTTCACATAGCAAAGTGCCTTATCGGTTCGGTCTAGGCGAAAGTGCAATCTTCAGGGACACCAAAGCAATTTTTAAACAGTAAGTGAAATAAAAATAGTAGCGATTAGCACAATAAACGGTACCGGATCTTGGCCCGACTGGCTCGTAGCTAGCCGTTGAGCGCACTGGCATGTGGTTTGTGTAGGAAATAGCAGCCTGGTGTTTGATTGTTGTGTTGAGAATCATAGATAGAAACTCCTAGGGCGTTTCCCTTGGCGGCAGGCCACCAGCGAACTCTGATGACGTCATAGGCGCACACTTAACAAATCGCAGCTCATTAAGCGGACTGTGCGCTAGCATCTCGAGAGGCGTGGCGCGGCTGCCGTTTCCGCCAACGGCGATTGGTCGGCTCACGAGCGGAGGCGGAAGTCCGCCTTGTCGCCTCAGATGCCTGCAGAGCGGCAGTCGACGCCCTGCCGACTGGGAATTCGCCGTTGAACAAAATATGACGAGATACGGTAGGCGAGAATTCAAGGAAAAACGGTCGAATACATGGAAAATGAAGACGAAAGATCGGTGGAAAAGAGGGGGTAAAGGGATAGCAGAGAACACTCACTGGAGACTTTCTTAAAGTGGGAATAATTTACTTTGGAAGAGATTCTGGGTATTCCCAAGGAAGCAGGAGATAGTTTTATGTCGTCTGAGAAGCAAGTGGTTTCAAGTATTCTGAGGAAGCGCTCTGTAACCCCTCCTTGAAAGCTACCGGTAAAAAATTGATCCCAAAAGTTGCAGTAAAATGATCTCTCGAAGGTTTTCTGAGCAGCCCGCTGGTATCTTCAAAGCTGAATAGCCCCTTTATGGACCCTCGTAGTCTCCCTATCCATTCCAAGCTTTCGAGGGGAGATGTAATCCGTTCACTTTAAGCCCCTCAAGGCCACTCATCCCCTCGAAGTCGATTCGTGTTGGCTAATCTGACTTTAGTCATGGTGGGATCGTGTAGCTGGCTGCGATGCGAGTTGGTTATCTCGGCCTTTGGCGGCATTGACATCAAAGACACCGCCAGCATCAGGAGCTATCCATCCAGCCAGTCAGCCGCGGCCATCCAAGCGGCCGTGCGACGTCGACGGGGTGCTGGTGGCTCTCGTCGCGCCGAGATTTCTCCTCACTCTCTCTCGCGCGCGCCATCCATCAACGTGCTATGAACATACGCCGCCTGCCTCTCAACGTTTGAGTCGAACCCTAAGTTACCGTATGCTGATACGACGAGGAAGACGATGACATCTTGTGCGTTAGTTTCGCTTCAAACTTTGAACCGAGGCGAAGAATCAACTGGAGTATGGCAACGGATGCTGCACTGATCCTGAAGGGCAAGATGCCTCAGTTTACGGTACCGTGGTGGGGATTACGGTATGCACCAGATGGGATTTGTCGGTAAATTCGGGCGATCATATGACGAGTTGCTCCGCGAAGACAGGTATAGAGTAAAGCAGCATTCAGAATGAGTTTGGGGATTTCGATCTAGACGGGCAGACAGCAGGAACGCGGGATTTGGCAAGGTTCTGGAAAAGGTTCTTCTGGTTCTTCTCTCAAATGAGCACAGGTGGTCCGGGAG